CACACACACACACACACACACACACACACACACACGCACACACACACACACACACACGCACACACACTCTCCCTTTTAACCTCTTTCTCTTCTAAATAGTTTTACTTTTTGGGAAATTGGAATGCGCTATCTCATTAGGTAGATAAGCGCAAAAACGAAAACGTGTCTGCCGATCTCCTTCAAGGGAGAGAAAACGCAATACTAATTGCTATCAATCTAATGTTTTTTGCTGTATCCTTCTTAAATTTGACAAGATAACATTTATGAGCAAATGGAATGAATTTTCTCAACGTTTTCGTTGTTATTGTTGTTGTGTTTGTTGCTTTTGATGTTGTTGTTGTTGTTGTTGTTGTTGTTGTTGTTGTTGTTGTTGTTGTTGTTGTTTTTGTTGTTGTTGTTGTTGTAAGCATAAAAAAGTTAACCAAAAAAACCACAACAACCAACCAACAAACAATAACTGTAAACAACCAAAAACACCTCGTGGAAATCTTCTTTTTTATAGTAGAGGGTTTTACGGCGCTCGCAACTGCATAAGGTCATATGAGCGCCAAGGGTGGGTGTGAACAGAGAAGTCTTTACAGGGAATCAGACTTAGACTGCTCACCTCTCTAGCTTCAACAGCACAAGGTCTGCTTCGACTATCAAGGCACCCCAAAATAGCAGGTCACTGGAGAGTGACAAACATACAGAAGAAGTAGAGGAAAATGACAATAGTAAGGATCAGGAAAGAAAAAGCAGCAGTTCCCTGTTGTAGATAAGGCACAGTTATGAGCGTGACTTGAGTCAGCTTATTTACAATTCTACTATGCTTGAACGAGAAATGTCCCCCCTTTGGGAATGGCCTAAAGACACTTCAGTCAGTGGCACTGCCCCGGGAGGTATGGAAATCTTCAATTCATAAGGAAAATAATCGATCTCCTGTATAGTTGAAGGTTGTTATGATTTGTTTGCATTTTAAAAACTGAATCTGTGATAGTTATTGTAATAGTTTTATGCTCAACATTACTGTGATACCTTACATGTATATAATAGTACCGACTCGTAATCGTGACGCTGCGGGTTAGGGGGATTCGAGCCGCAGACCCGAAGTTGTGTCCTTGAAAATATGGAATTTTCCTCACTTCACCCAGATGTGAATGGTACCTGGTCATAGACAGCGAACGATCTTGTCAGTATTTTAGTGATTTAGCGCCTTAAATGATACCTCTGCTTGCACTGTACGGTTCACAGGAAGCTGAGATTGTTTCAGAATGCTGTCGGGTCTGCGGAGGTAATAATGTAGATTTTAAAGCACATAGAGCTTGCTTTTTAGCGGGAGTTTGCACGTTTTTAATGCTATCTATTATTAATAATAGTAAGATTTACTTTGGTGCATCGTTTCTGAGTCATTACCTTTTTTTTTTTTCTTTATTCAATGCACCAAATAACCTTGTTTCTGAATAATTTTTTGAGGCATCCTTAATCTTTTTCCTTTCTTCCTTGTTTATTCTAACCACTGACTGTAGTGTCTTTAGGCCATTCCCAAAGAGGAGACATTTCTCGTTCAAGCATAGTAGAATTGAAAATGGGCTGACTCAAGTCACGCTCATAACTGTGCCTGATCTACAACAGAGAACTGCTGCTTTTTCTTTCCTGATCCTTACTATTGTCATTTTCCTCTACTTCTTTTGTATGTTTGTCACTCTCTTGTGACCTGCTATTTCCGGGATGCCTTGATAGTCGAAGAAAACTTTATGCTGTTGAAGCTAGAGAGGTGAGCAGTCTAAGTGTGACTCCCTTTAAAGACTTTTCTGTTGACACCCACCCCTTGGCGCTCATATGACCTTATGCAGTTTCGAGCGCCGTAAAACCCTCTACTATAAAAAAAACAACAACAGCTATAACCACTTTGCAATGTTTTCCATTAATGATTAGTAAAGTATTACGGTAACGATAAATACACAAACGGTTGCACGTAACGCTTCCTGATGTCTCATGTCGCATAATATAGTGTAAAGCGCTTCAGAGCTTGCTGTCGAGCGTGGATATGCACCGTACAAGTGCTATTTATAATTATAATTATTATTATTATTATTATTATTATTATTATTATTATTATCATCATTATTATTGTTGTTATTATTATTGTTGTTATTATTATTATTGTTGTTATTATTATTATTATTGTTATTTTATTATTATTATTATTATTATTATTATTATTATTATTATTATTATTATTATTATTATTATTATTATTATTATTATTATTATTATTATTATTATTATTATTATTATTATTATTATTATTATTATTATTATTATTATTATAGTGTATACATCTGGCTGGGGCCACATTTTGGACCAGTCTCACGCAGTTGTTACATTTTCTTTTTTTTTCTTTTTTTAACCACTTTGCCAAATTGTACTTTTATGTTTTGTAAAGTGTTACATTAGCGCAAAAAGCAAACGGTTGAAAGTAACGTTTGGATTGTCTCATTGTGATTTTTATGTATACGCCTGAAAGAGGTGAGATTCTGCAATTCATGCGAACTAGGTGTCTGTTATATTTTTCCCCTGCGTTATTTATTATTTTTTAACCAGGGCACATAGTTTGGAGTTTATCGACATATTCGTAAACTATCTTCTCCGCTTGTGTAAAAAATTTGCGCCTTGAGTTCGTGTCTTGACCGATAACACAAAAAATCAACCAACACGACAAAATCTGATTACATTTTTCGGTATGCAGCTTTTCGGATTGCCTCATGATGCTTTTCGTGTAGACTTGTTCCAGAGGTGGAAGCTTGGCAATTTCTCTGGTGTAGTCTGCCCCTTCATTTTTATCAAACGTTTATCGTCTCTATCTCTCCTACTCCTCTTTGTGCTCGTCACTCTCTTTTAACACCTCTAATCTTCAGCTCTTATGTAACCTTATTGTGTTGCAAGTGCCGTTAAACCCTTACTAATACTAGAAATCTTCCAGGGGCCAAAGTCTGGAGCTAACCAACAAGACGGTGAAGTGGCCTGGGGGAGTGATCAGAATCCCGTTTGGAAGGCCCGAGTGTGGTTGGGATGGAACCCTCTGCGAAAACAAGAGTGAGTATCTTTATTCATGAACCTACCCTTCTTCTGAAGAATCTCGGACTTCTCTTTAAAGAATGTGAATTACAATGCATAACTATAAAAAGTAATAATTCACAGTTTACCATTTACATAGCTAATCTGAGTGCAACCTTTTATTGACTATAGCACACACATCCCGTTTTTAAATCGTTATGAATGGGATTTAGTTTCTGTTGGTCATCCAACTTCTAGACTCGCATGTAAATATCTGAGAAGGATAAACAGAGCAAACCCTCCATTCTGAATCATTCATTAAAAAAATTATATTTCGCGTATGACGTCGCAGATACCCTTACGTTAGCCTCACAGAGAATGGTAAATTGTGGAAATACAGCACAAGTACGCTTTTACCCAAATATTATGTATTATAATATAATATGTATTAACATTCTTTGAACGGCTTGCGATTTTATTTTTACATTCCTGCGACTGGGTAAATACAACACAGTTTGATCCAATCTTCGAGGTTCTGCCGTATAATATGTTTGTTTGGTTGTTTTTGTTTTAATTCCAAGTCATGGCTGATTCTGATCTTTCTTTGTTGTTATAGTTTTAGTTGTTATCGTTGTTGTTTTTGTTGTTGTTATTGCTCATTAATCTATTCATAATTCATCATTTAATTTTTTAAAATTCATACATGTTTCATGGCTGGTTTTTGAAGGTAAACATTCTTTAACTTGAATCGATCAGCTACGCAGAAAAAACTAGATCAGAGCCCCGAGTTTGTTGAAACAAGAGAAAGTAAGTGAATAGTTATCCCTCGCCTGCCTGCAATAATTTTGATCAAAGGCAGATATGGATATCACTCTGCCACATCGTACACAATATGGAGAAGGGGGGCTCCCGCGGCCTAAAGGATAAGGTGTTCGCCTGTCATTCAAAGGTCCAGGGTTCGAATCCGGGTCGCAACTGAAAAAAAAATGTCCCTCTAAAATTTTCCCTTTTCCCCTCCTTTCCTGCTCTTTAGCAATGTTCTGTCGTCTGCTTTCGTCTCCAATTTCTGCCTCCACCCCTGGGCTCCTGACTCTTTCTGCAGCATTTCTACGGCTACTGCTTGACCCCTTCTTGCTGCTGTCTTTCAGCCACACATCTGATCTTCTTGTTGGAAAGATGTACACCTAGCCTTCTCGGACCAGGGCGAAAAATCTCGGAGGTCTCGTGTACAAATTGCGCACGTTAAAGATCCCTTGGGGGTCTAAAATCGATAAGAGTAGGCTTCAGCCGCCACCAGAACAAAATTCAAGTGGAGACGTGATACTCAGACTCGCTTAAGTAGGCTTGTCCTTCTACAATCGTTAGCTAAAACGTTTTTTCCTGTATATTGTCAACGCGCCACTTACTTTCTCCGCTCGACTTCCTATTGCCACAGCATCTCTCATTCTTTTTGTTTAATCGATACTGTGTTTCAAAAGTTATTTCACAACCATTATTATTCGATTATGTTCATTACAGCGTAAGAATTGCAGCAAAAATGAAAAGAAAGTATGGCTTGTGAGACTTATGAGACTCCTCATGCATGTGGAGACCAGATAAATACACCGGAAGTAGTATGTGGGCAAAGTCTTAGTACTGTTTTCTCACGATGTACTTGGACACCAACGCATTCTACACACAAAGTATGTTTTGAATAACACCGACAAAGTGCAAACACATTTTACACGCTGTAAAAATAAGTGCTTTTAACATCTGAGTCATTTGTTGACCTATTTTCAAAGTTTTCAAAGTAGCAAAACTGACAAATGCAGAACGTGAACGCGCTCAGTGTATAATTAATTATGGCATTGCGTTTTCTGCTGTTGCAGACACGCAAATGTGTGCAGAAAAACCACCATCTAACGCTTGAATAAACGTTTTAACACAACTAGAATTGTCCAAGACAGGCCAAGGGAATAACTCGACATCTATGTTGGGCTTTTGTCAACACCGACGTTTGAAACCTGTTCCAACTATGTGCACAGACTGCCAGGTACTTTGGGCTATTTTAAAACAATTATTAGACATTTACGTGATCATGGATTACGCGATGTTGTCTTTTATGTGGAGCCATTCTAACCCTGATTCATTGAAGAAGTCTCCAAACTTGAGCGCAAAACCACTGGCGATGGAACCAAAGACGTTGGAATAGTGTTCTATTCAGCAATGGTCCAGGTTTTTAACTCGTCACATTGATCAAAGAGAAAAGACGTTTAAAAGAAGAGGATAGCGATATCGCAAAGTCAATGCCTGCCAAGTGGACCGATTCTGTGGTGGAAGTGTGACGGTGTGGGGTGGAATCTCTGCTCTTCGTCGTGTACATTTGGTCCCTATTCAAAGCAACCTTAAAGGAAGACGGTGGGGGGACAAAATTTGTCATCCTCGTGTCCTTTCCTACATGGCGCGGATGGTGGAATATGCCAACAAGACAACTCCTAACCCCATGCGGCCATGACCAGTCAAAACTCCTTCTAACTCGTCAAATCATTGTTCTGGACTGGCCTGCAAGATCAACAAATCTTATCCCAACAGAACAATTGTAAGATGACCTTGACTAGAGAATTAGAAACCGGACACACCCCGTGCAAACTCGTCTGGAATTGAAGGCTACACTTCATAAGGATTGTAGAAGAGTCCTCAGGCAACCATTACGACACTTATTTAGTCATGAGCAGACGTTTTGTAGAAGTAAATCAAGCTGGAAGAGGCCACACGTAATACTGCGCAAACTTTGATTAGGATTTGCACTGGTCATTGTGAATAAAATTATCTCCATTAAATAAAGAAAGACAATGGCCAATTCTTTTCATGCCTTGTTTGCAAAACATGAATGAAGATCAAATGCACCTAGTTTTATTCGGCTATATTGAATAGCAAATGAGTTATTGCACTTGGAAGAATGGTGTAAGAGATTTTTTGCAACACAGTGTTGTTGGGGAACATCCTCTTTAAAAAAAGATTATCCTGACATGCTTATTTCTGCTGCTTAGTACCCACTCAGCTTGTTATAAGACTCTGCAACATTGCAATATGTTATATATTATTTGACATTGTGGCGTATAACGGAGTCTATCACTGCTCAGTCAATTTTCAATAGAATTTGTTGATTCTGACTCTAGTGGCAACTAATACTTCCAGCTTTTCTTAATTCTGTCCTAGCTCACGAAACTATTGATAAGTGTCTGAAGGGACCTGGCATACATTGCCCTAACAGCCACCCTCCTACATTATTCGTCTTGGTCTTACTCCAATGAAAGGGTACAGCAAGTAGTGTTGTTTTAGTACCGATTGTGACGCTATCTGTAATTGCAAACGCCTTATACCCCTTTCATCAGAATAAGATAATTAATTTAGGAAAGAGGCTGCTTCGATCATGTCTGACAGGGCCAACCAGTACATAATTTAGCGGGGCTTATGTGTATGTGTGTGTGTTTGTGTGTGCGTGTGTGTATATGTGTGTGTTTGTTTGTAAGTGTATGTTTGTGTAGGTGAGTGTATGTAAGTATGTGTGTGTTTGGGGGGGGGTGAGGGGGCGTCATAATAAACGGTTACGCTATTCAATGCAAACATATTGTCAGATACGTACTCCCCCTTTTGCAAGACAAAACGTTTCAGTTCTAGGGTAATACGTTTTGCCCAAAGACACGCCTCAGGGATCGCCAATCGATTAGTCTTCACCTCTTCGGTCGCTGTTTATTATATTATGTGATTTAATGATGACCCGATACTGTAATAGCGGTGCTTATCTATTATAATCAGCGATGATCACCTGGAGACATCGACATCAGACCAAGCAGTTCGTTAGCGCTCGTACCAACTGCTTTTTATCCAAAACAGATATGATCAGGTCAGATAAGATAATATGGTTTGTTTTTATGTAAAATATTTTTTTTTGCGAGTTTTTTAAAAGTTAAATCGCGAGGAGTGCATAGCCTTAACAGACACTACCAGGCTGATTCAAAAGCAGAAATTATGACCCCAGATTTGGGCACTGAGCTGAAAAAAAACCCTGCTACCTAGAAAGGACTAGAAAAAAATCGTGTCTGACTGAACTCGACCGAAGCTTGAACTTCAACATATTTGTCGAGTTCTTTCAAGCTGCGCCACATTAGCCTGCTCACGGGATTCTATGTTGTTTTATGTGGGGGTTTTTTTGCTATTACTGCTGTTAAAGGTTATTTTATCGTCTCTTTGGGTGTGTTGTGTGCGCTAAAATTATTGGGCGGCAGTTCACGGCCGGGCTCTGTGGGCAAACCGCCCCTGGTTGTGCGCCCCGTCGATACGTTTTAGATAATAATGTTTTATGTTTTAGTTGGGCTACTTTGACGCTGTCTGCTGTCAGTTCGAACCCAGGTTGAGTAAGATACAACCAACACCCCTGCAGAGAGAGAGAGAGAGAGAGAGAGAGAGAGAGAGAGAGAGAGAGAGAGAGAGAGAGAGAGAGAGAGAGAGAGAGAGTTTCGAAAAACTCGATAACGGGGAGAGTTGCACTTCCCCATGAGGTAATCCAGCTCATGTCTTCGGCGTGTAACAGAAAAAAGGCCTGATTATTGCACACCAACCGCACACCCCAGTCTGAGCAGTTCTAAGAATACGAGAAGTATAATTATATCTGTTGAAATAGGGTCATTTCGTCCATTGTCAAAATTGCTTCCCTTTCGGTAAATTGTCATGATTACGGATAATGATAAAATTTGTTGGATTGGTCTTTGGCGTTATTGTTTAGAGCTAGCATTTACTTCTACTTACCGTTAATTAATTTATTTTGTTAATGGCAACATCATTGATATTCAAAGGAGACAGAAATTTCTAGAACCCCCTTGGGGGTAGGTAAACCACGAATCTCCAGTTTTTACTTTAGGCTTTTGTTCATGTTAGTATTCTAAGGAATCCATAGAACACTGCCAATTATGAAAGACATACCCCTAGAACATACAAACACTTTTGTGTTTGCGTTGATTGTTTGTTGTCGTTATCTTGATGCTCAAGTTCGTGGCACC